CCCGAGGCGAGCATGGGACCGTTTAACGAGGGCCCTGTCTTTTCCGCGATAAATTAATTGCCCTCCAAGTACCGTAAATCAGGACCAAATGAGACCTTTGTGCTTATTGTGTGTATGTACACATTATGATGGATGGGCTCGAGTTTCCTTCTTCTTTATGTTTTTTACTTCACCCCCCCCCCCTCTCTCATGAACCTCTGTAAAGTTACCGGTTTTTTGTCGCAGTCTCCGTGTAGAGTATTGTGCGTACATGCAAAGAATCGATATAGTTATACATTTTGTCGCTTCATCTCCTCGGACTTGACTTCAAAAATAAAGAGCGTGAATCTTGCGGGCGAGTTTCTCACGATGCGCGAAACCAGAGACGTCATCAAGTGGTGGTCCCACCGCGCGGCACCGATCGCCGCCTTACAAGGGCGCGTCCACTTAACGTAACGTGGAGCTACCCCCCCAATATCAGCAAATCGCGGCGACGACTAAATTTGGAAGGCTCCCCTCTTAACGATGCTTAATGCACATAGTTGCTGTTTTTTCTCTCTCTCTCCTTCGTTGATCGTTTTATCACGCGTCCCTTTCGGGGAGAAGGAACAAATTTTAGGCCCCGGCTGCCGATCTGTCGCTCTTTTTTTTTTTTTTCATCGGTGCCCACTGGAATGCACGGAATTGGGAAAAGTATGCATCTTTCGACGCCCGATCGAATAAAACAGATCGACATGTAGTAAATCTACGATCACGTGTAACGCCCAGCTCGTTTAAGTGTGCGTGTACAATAAACACCGAGAATTGACGAACGTGTATATATATTTATAGGCAAATAGCGATTTCATTCTCGCGTCGCGTTAATCCACATACAGTAGTACAGTAGTGGTGATGATAATAATAATCATCCGCCAATGTATACAATATATACAATGTACAGCTCAGCAGCGGTAGCGGATATACCTATCCGATTCTCGTGGCTGGCTGCAGCGCGTGTAATTCGAGCCGATCGCCGAGCTATTCATCGCCCGTAACCCGCTTCACTCGCGAATAGGTACATCGGCTGCAATAGTATATATACCGCCGTAAGCCGCAGCTCTGCCATAAGTATATATTAACTGACACAGCTTCTTCTTCTTCTTTTTCTTTTTTTTTTTCCATTCCGGTCGTTTTTCTTGCTCCCATGTATGTATTATATTTATACATACACTGTTGCGGATATGTTGCATATTACCTATATATGCGGATCTATTCGCTCGCTCTGCTTCACGTTACGCGCTGGAGACAGAGGCTCATCCTCTCCCGTTGACGAATCAATTCGTATTATGTGTACATTCTTTTTTTTTTTTTTTTTTTTTCTTTTTTCGTTTTCTTTCATCGCGTTCGCGCGACATAATACAACACGTAAAGTACCTTTACACGTGTACAACTCGGAGAGAGCTTAGATATACGGCGTGTATTACACGTATAGGTGTAGATACGTGTAATTCGATATATGCACTAGTAATGCCACTGCTATACTCTCCTCCTCCGTTGGAAGCGTCGTAGGTATGTACACGCACGAGGTTTCATCACTCGCGGGTCGTCCGTTTCATTTTAAACAAGTCAATTATAATGCGTGCCCCGCGTTGTATACTAATACGGATGGATGGGTGGTGTCGAGCAAAGGGCGCGATGACTTGATTTTCCTCTCTTCGGAATGTACATGTAAATATGTGTTATCATTATGATTATTATGTCAGCGGCAAACGCGGTGTAGATGAGGAGGAGGGACCGGTCAAGCGGAGTAGGCGAGAGAGCTCATTGGGTATGGGCGCATTCGCGTCTCGGAGGAGAGATAGCCACCATAATAGCTATCTGCAGCTCTCGGAGAGATCGCCGTACGGTATTATTATATCGGCCATACGCGCCAATTGACAAAGCGAGTCGAAAGACCCGAGTTAGTGTGTTGTATGTATATGGGGGTGTGCAAACGTATCCGTTTCAGAGTCGTAAATCCACATCTCTCGCCTCTAGCGCTCTGCTGCAACGCGATAGGTGTGTACGTTATATATGTTATTGAAAAAAAAAAAAGGAGTCTCGCTCGCTTTGGCATGTGTATACGTACACGACGAAATGAGGAGGTACGAGCATATTATAAGCGCGGGTCGGCAACGAAACGGGCTATCGGACAGATTGGACTATTCATGTACAAGTGGACAACACAATGTACAATACAAAAAAAAAACAAAAAAAAAATTAAAAATGCTGGCTGATTTGCAGAAACCTAAGAAAATGTGTACGCAAAAATTGAGAGAGCTGCGTAAAAATTGTAGTTACATTACCTAAAAAATAACTCTCAGATATGTTCAGAACAAATTTTTTATAGAAAAACTTTTTTTTTTTAACAAATCAGATCTTATCAATTTGAGAATCCGAAATACGTCAAATGGGTGGCAGAGTACTCATACTTGAAACTTCGTAATAAATATCTATCAGATAAATATTAAGTATCCAGAAAACTTTTTAATAACTTGGAAGTTCATAGCATTTAATAATGTATCCAAATAAACGCAAATTTCACTTTGATTATCGATGACATCAAACTTGAAAACATTAAAAAGACTAATGAACGAAATGACGTATACCGATACAAGTTTAGATGTATATACAAATTATTGAAATTTTCTCCTTTCATAAATTAGTTACTACTGAATTGAGCACGACAGAGACGGATCGGACCGAGTTGCCATACTGCAGTGAGATATCATACACAATTTTACTCGGACATTTAAAGTACCTGCCATGCATATAGGCATACATATAAATTTATACACAGACTCGCAGTACACAGTTGACCATCGCGGCTGCGATTAGTAATGCGGTATTATAAACACAACCGAAGCCCAACTCTCATGGTTCAGAGAATAATTAATTGCTGGGGAGTTTTTCGATTTCTCTTTGGCAAATGGCTCTCTTACAAGAGTAAACATACATGTTAAAATGCGAATGTTCGCAACTACTACAAAAAAAAAAAAAAAAAAAAAAAAAAACTATTATTTCCAACGATTCACCCGAGTACACGTATTTCTACAATGGACACATACATATGTATATTATGTACTAGATATTCCAAGTACGTGTAATATATATATTACACTTGCAGGATCGACTCGCGCTATTAGTTTGGATGGGTAAAATGTACATTGAGCGTCGATACCTCTCGCGGAAACAAATTTCTCTCGCCAAAGGGGAGGAGAAAAAAGACGGGCATACCCGACGCCTCGAGTCTCTTGAGCATCCGAGCGCCCGGGAGAGATTAAAGGCAGGTGGGTGTGTCCGACGAGGCGACATATCGCACGCGATCTCGTCGCCTCTCGCTATATACACACACACACACACACACAGCGGAGTTGACCAGAGAGAGAGGACCAGTTTGGATTTCAGCCCGAGTTATCCGAGACGGACGTGTGAAAGGAAGCGCGAGCTGAATTACCTATACTTGCCGTCCGTCCGAGGGGCTAAGTGTATTATCGCGGACCACCCAAGGCAAGGGGGGGGGGTCTCTGTCCGTTTGTATGGGCGGAGATTAGCGCCGATGCGGGATTTTTGCCTTTGGCCGAACAAAAAAAATCACTTTTTCCTTTAGATCGGATGTATCGTGTCCACGACGTTTATGGGCGCGCGACCCACGCCCGAGATCTGATAAATGTTTCTTTTTTTTTTTTTTTTTTTACCACAAAAGAAGCCAAATTAGTCAGCCGAGCTGAGAACCGGGGCGCCGGTGCTGCAGCCTCCGACACAATAGACGAGATAAGCGGCGCAGACTTATGGAGTTTCTTTTTGTTTTTTGCTTTCTCCTCGTCGTCCGAGACCGTAATTATTGTGTCTGTCGTGGGGAGAGGGCTTTAGAGGGGCTGTGGGGATTTTAACGGTAAAAGCTGCGTCTTAATGCGTCTTTTCGAGTCACACGCATAGGTATATATGTATACAACATAATGAGCGCTGCGTATAAATATATAGTCACGCGTATCGAGGTTGAAATAAAATCGTCGAGGTGTCGCTTTAAATCAACTTTCTCGTGGTTTATTAGGGATAAAAAAAAAAAAAAAAAAAAAAAAAAAAAAAAAAAAAAGAGGACGAACGGTACCGCGAGTATAGCCATATTCTTCTGTGACGTGCGTTTATGAGTATAGCGAAGTTTCTTTTCAACCCACCAAACGTGGTTGCCCATTTTTTCTTCTTCTATCATCTACTTAAAACAAATTGTTTTCGTTCAGTGTCATCCGAGGCAGCATTCGCAGTTAAATTTGTTACCATAGGCAACGTGGGATTTTTCCTGATGCTGTCGAAACATGTATTATTATTATTCAGGGTGGCCGACAGGTCGCACTTCGCGCTAAGGGGGGGCGTTTAGCTTCACGAGCTTGCCGAAACGTCAAACGCTCATCGGTTTAACGCGCAAACAAGATTAACTCCCTGGGACTCTTATGTATACGATTGGGGGTCCCCCCCCCCCGACTTTTTACGACTTGTGTGCAAACGACAACAACAATGGCAACGGGCGTCGAGTGAGCAAACTTTTACAGGCGACTCGCCGTGTAGAATGGAATATTTGTCAGGAGGTGAAAAAAAAAAAAAGCCCCAAAAAGCGCTCGTTAAGAGTTTCGCGCGTGGGCGTCCCGACCCGTGTCCTCGGCTCCAGCCTTATCTCGATTATGTTCGTGTTTTCTCCGCTTCTTTCTGCAACTGTTGCCCGAAAACGCGGCGGCTCCCGATCCTTCGCCAGAGATAACTACATCACCCCGCGGGTCGTCAGTGTGTAAAAAAGATTGTAAGACAATCAACTCTGGCAACTCCCGTGTGTGCGGGGTTCCCTGGGGTTCTTGATTCCTTTTTTTCCTTTCTGTCGACAACAAAGTGTCGCGTGCAAAACTAGATGTATGTTTTTTTGGGAATTTTTTGGAAAATATTCTAACCAATAAAAAAATACGAGGTATACCTTACGGGATACGGGTAAGAAATGAATGTGACATGCATACCGACAACAAAGACGTGTCCGAAGATTTGGTTGTCGACGAGTTGAGAGCAGTTCCAGCGGTGGTTTCTGAACTGGTGGCGGCACTCCTTCAAACCGAGCTCGGCACCCTCGCCGATCACCGCCATCACGTGGGGCGCCTTCTGGCACATTTCTCGCTGTTGCTTGGTCAGCCCGGGGATGCGGCCGCACACCACTGCGCTGAGCATCACTGCTCCGACCACCCTGTAAAAATAACACGCAAGATAAAGGGCATTTTTGTTAAATGTCCCCTAAAGTATATAAGTATTTCAATCAACAGTTTACATTATTTATACAAATCTACTACTGAGCCATAGACATGGCTCCATAATCGAAATTGAAAACTTTAAATGAGTTCAAAACTTGAAATGGCCATATCTCCGTCAATAACGCAGATATCGAGAAAAGGACCACGATTTGAGATCACAGAATTTTTGAAAAATTAAAAATATTCATTCGTGGCTCTGCCTATATTCTATTCGAAGAAATGTCCTTATAAATGTACAAGTACCTAATTAAACAGTAATTTATTCAAATAATTCAGTATCAAGTCAAAGACATGGCTCCATAATCGAAAATGAGAACTTTGAAAAAGTTTAAAACTTGAAATGGCCATATCTCCGTAAATAACGCAGATATCGAAAAAAGGGCCACAATTTGAGATCACATAATTTCCAAAAAATTAAAAATTTTTATTCGTGGCTCAGCGTATATTCTATTCGAAGAAATGTCCTTATAAATGTACAAGTACTTAATTAAACAGTAATTTATTCAAATAATTCAGTATCAAGTCAAAGACATGGCTCCATAATCGAAAATGAGAACTTTGAAAGAGTTCAAAACTTAAAATGGCCATATCTCCGTCAATAACGCAGATATCGAGAAAAGGACCACAATTTGAGATCACCGAATTTTTGAAAAATTTTAAATTTTTATTCGCGGCTCTGAGTATATTCTATTCGAATAAATGGCCTCTTAAATGTACAAGTATTAAATTAAACAGTAAATTATTCAAAAAATTCAGTATTAAGTCAGGGACATAGCTCCATAATCGAAATTGAGAACTTTGAAAAAGTTCAAAACTTAAAATGGCCATATCTCCGTAAATAACGCAGATATCGAGAAAAGGACAATAATTTGAGATCACATGAATTCCAAAAAATTAAAAAAATTTTATTCGCGGCTCTGAGTATATTCTATTCGAATAAATGGCCTCTTAAATGTACAAGTATTAAATTAAACAGTAAATTATTCAAAAAATTCAGTATTAAGTCAGGGACATAGCTCCATAATCGAAATTGAGAACTTTGAAAAAGTTCAAAACTTAAAATGGCCATATCTCCGTAAATAACGCAGATATCGAGAAAAGGACAATAATTTGAGATCACATGAATTCCAAAAAATTAAAAAAATTTTATTCGCGGCTCTGAGTATATTCTATTCGAATAAATGGCCTCTTAAATGTACAAGTATTAAATTAAACAGTAAATTATTCAAAAAATTCAGTATTAAGTCAGGGACATAGCTCCATAATCGAAATTGAGAACTTTGAAAAAGTTCAAAACATAAAATGGCCATATCTTCGTAAATAACGCAGATATCGAGAAAAGGACAATAATTTGAGATCACATGAATTCCAAAAAATAAAAAAAATTTCATTCGCCGCTCTGAGTATATTCTATTCGAATAAATGTCCTCTTAAATGTACAAGTATTTAATTAAACAGTAAATTATTCAAATAATTCAGTATTAAGTCAAAGACATGGCTCCATGATTGAAATTGAGAACCTTGAAAAAGTTTAAAACTTGAAATGGCCATATCTCCGTAAATAACGCAGATATCGAAAAAAGGGCCACAATTTGAGATCACATAATTTCCAAAAAATTAAAAATTTTTATTCGTGGCTCTGCGTATATTCTATTCGAAGAAATGTCCTCTTAAATGTACAAGTATTTAATTAAACAGTAAATTATTCAAATAATTCAGTATTAAGTCAGGGACATAGCTCCATAATCGAAATTGAGAACTTTGAAAAAATTTAAAACTTTAAATGCCCTTATCTCCGCACATAACGCAGATATCGAGAAAAGGACCACAATTTGAGATTACAGAACTTTTTATATTTTTCTCAGGACGACAACGATGATAATTGTTATTATAATTACAGAACTCCCAGTGGAGAGGAAGGGCGAATCCTTATGTCCTTTAGTTTCGTTACCCAAGGCGCACGTGCGCGCATGTTAATCTATTCCGGGCGGAAGGCGAGCGCGCAAAATCTCCGCAAAGTCGAGGAATCACGTCGCCGCAAAGATTCGGGCCGAGGATAAGCCGGGACGGCGTGTAAGTATTATCCGAAACGCGAGGGCTAGAACAAAGAAGCTGGACCAAGGGGGAAGGGGGGGACAAGAGCCGCACGAGTACTCCGCGCCTCACGTACAACGACATTCCTCATGTAGACGAAATTTCCGAGAACAACACAGCAACGAGCATTACCCCGAGGGGTCAGCCCTTGCGTTAATGTATAGAGTTAGTTCTATTTGCATCGGAATGCGGTGGGCCTCCCGAAAGATATATCCCCGCGTGGGAATATCTCGCCGGAGAAATTAAAACCCGCCCTCTAGCCCCGAAAGAATAAGGGGCCAATTTTCGTTGGCCTCGACGATTACGCGCTCGGAGATCACTGCCGATCGACGACTATATATATATATACATAAATCAAGACTCGTACAGCCATGGGATTTGTATACATATCAGGCTGAGCAAAGATATTATCGTTGCCACCAACGCGATTTTAACCCCCCAAGACCCTCGCAATTTTTCGAGTTTCGGTGTGATGATTTTTTACGGTATAGCATCGAGTATATACATTGCGAGAGCGTGCCCACGTGATTATAACACGCGCAAAGAAGAAAAATACAGACCACGGGTAATTAGGCCTTTACGGCAGGTCAGCGATTACTCGTATACACGTGTACGCGCGAAATTAAGGGGCACTTGATCGCGGAGCTCATTAATATTCGGATAGGACTCGCTAATGGTCGGTCGATTGCGGAGGGTCGGGGAGTCGGTGTTCGTAATACTCCTGGGGCATGTAGTACAACATAAGAAAACAGCGCTGCAACGGCATCACATGGAGTTGTACAGACTTGTGCGTGGACTTGGGTTATATATGAATTAAAAATGGGTAAATTCTTGATAAAATATTTAGCCGCGGTATTTAATGGTAAACGGGCGTACGCGTATATATGTATCTGCAATATTCCGACGAAGCGTAGCGCGGAGAAGAAAAAGTCTATCTGTATAATAGTGTATGTACGCGCAGAGAGAGAGAGAGAGAGAGAAAACGCGGCTAGAAATAAAACTGGAAGTTGGCGCCAATGCAGCTGCCGGCTTGTGATACATATCGGCTGGGTATTTATTAATTATCGGGGCGCGCGAGCAGTAAATACGCGACTTTATCATTTTGGAATGTAATTCCCTCTTTTTCTCTTGGCTGCAACTCTATGCACATATGTATATGAGTCCTGTTTGTCATCTGTTTGCAAATTCTTCCGATTGTGAGGGCTTCCTCCGAACTATTGTAATGTGTGACCATCTCTACTACGAGCAATACTCACGGTTTCGTCTCTTACCTTACAGAAATATTATGATCAATGTAAGCATTCAAGGGAGAAAACGTACAGTGTGAGCCCCACTATGTATACTACTGAATTTTATTTACAAAACTTACACGCGTTAAGAAATAATTCGCGGTGTAACAAAAATTATCATAGTATTTAAACATAATAAAAAAACGAATGAACGAATATCTCCCCACTTTTCGAGATAAACTGGAAATATTTACTACGCCTTCCCGTTAAACTGTACAGGAAAAAGCATAAGTTTCGAGATCAAAACGGCTAATGTGTATAAGAGACGCGTCTCATCGGCTCAACCGTCCGTGATTAAACTAAAATACTAAATGTACTTGATCGCTAGTGGAGTGTGCAACGCACATACTTACATTTCGCTCGAGCAAAGAATCGTTTTGGAACCATATTTCCTTCTCTCTTCCCATACATTACGCAATGCAACGAAGTATCGATGCCTCGGAAAGGCAAAATTACCGGCACAAAGATGTATTAGCCTCCGGGTTTGCGAAATTACTGCACTTTCCTCGCTACCGTCAGAAGCGATCCATACACACGTAAGGGTGTAATAACGTGCGCGCAGCAGAGAAGCGGTAAAAGATTCCCTTCCGCCTACCCTATTATATTATGTCCTTTTTTTTTTAAATTGCCCCAAGGATACAAGCAAAAATACACATTATATTCCTTATTGCACGGTGCAGGTATAGTATACCGGTACGTGAGAATGTATATGAGGAAGATTCCACTTTACAGGTATAGTGTCATAATATGTTTATGTACACCCAATACGAATTTGATGTAAGAGGGCAAATATCCTCGATTCGTTATTAGTAATAACATTTGACATTACGAGCCATTAGATATCCATGATTTTCTTTCTCTCTTTTTAATGGCTGACATTGAAGAAACCAGGACCGTAATGGAGTAAATAATATACGTTATAATCGATTTCGTTTGATCGATTAACCGCATGAGCCTCGTTGATAAAGATATATAATAACATTGATTCAAAGACTTTTCCCACTATAATGCTCGTGTAAGTACAACGAAAAAAAAAAAAAAAAAAAAACTTCCTTATCTCGCGACGTACACGCGCGCTTGTGCACCCTAAAGACCATTGTCCGTCAATCACGAGTACACGAGCAACGATATTCCCCTTGTGCCATTATTAGCATAATCCGCAAAGTTAAAAAAAAAAAACACGTGTACGCACCGCACGGTATAATGTTTATATGTATTTAAGTATCTGCTGCTTGTACGTGCCGTACACGCGTTCAATTCCGAGGGAACGAGGGGACTAATGGTTATTCGGGAAAAAAAAACAAAAGTGCATTCACTGTATACCTGTTGGCCCAATAATAGACAGGGCCGATAAATATTGCCCCTCTATACGGACCCACATCCGTGCAATAGCGAGATATATATCTCCGCGGATATACTTACACGGGGAAGGGTAAGTAGTGCATATGTATATATGCGTATTAAAGGGTACAGAGGGAGTGTACGACCCACCGAGTAATATACATGGGAGCAAAAACAGCTCGCGGTGTAATATGCCGTCGGAGCGGCGGGCA